ACAGCAGAATGAGAAAACCTGCCAGCTTCTGAAACAAGATTTAAAATAAATACAAGCCTTATGGTCAGTGAATATTTCTATGTATTAAAGCATATTTATTTTACACGGCAGCATTTTCAAGTGCATTTGAAATGCATTCTGGACACCTCCAACAATTCAAACTAAGAAAGAAAAAAATCAATTTCTCAGGTTCTGAGGTGAGAATAACAGATTTAGACAAGGTGAAAGCGATTACTGCAAACAACCCAAACTCAGCCAGTGGCGATGTCTGTGAGTCGTGTTGCATCACATCCTGTCTAAACAAAACCACAGAGGAGATGAAGAGTGACGCCTCCAGTGTTAACATTCTGTGATGCTTCATTATCCGAACCAGATCAATTCTTTGATCTGGTTCGGATCAATTCCTTGATCTGGTTCTCATTATGTCACAAACCGACACACAAAAAAAGCACAGCATTCATGTCTTAAATTTTAAATAATCTGAAAAGTGTGGCATATAAAACTATTTAAAAAAAAAAGAAAGAAAAAATCCCTGGATGTGCAAAGTGATTTGCGAGTGCAAATTCATTTACAAAATATATAGTCTAGACAACATGTAGTATTTTCAGTTTTGAATACTAGAAAAGCTGATGTTTTCAATTAGTTTTACGCTTTAAAAACTGGATTACGTGTCCTGTTCAGAAGATTTTATTTTAAATTTAATAATAACATCCAATGTTTCTGTCATTTATGTTTGGTTAGGTTTTGTTTATGCCCACGCGCATTAAGCACATTTCAGAAGGCACCAAAATGAAAATCAGGCTGCAAAAATGCACCATAAGCATAGTAATAATAAATATGACAAATTCGAAGTAAAAATTGTAAAGAGCATGCTAATAAAAACCATCAATGAAGAAGTAACCTATTTGAGAATTAAAAGAATGTTATATGCCCACACAACATTTGTTTCTGGGCAATCGAATCCTCACCATCACATGAGATATAAACACAAAAACGCATTTATAATAAAAATCTATCATATATATCTGATTTTACTGTAGTGTTGTTTTGAGAGGACATGTGGCACATTGGTGAGGCAGAGCGACGAAGGAGCTAGTGTGTGTGTGTGTGTTTTTTGTTTTCCGTGTGTGATTATTAGAGCAGAAATAATCGATCGCACACAGAATGCGGAACGCAACAAGCAGGACATTCGGCATTACTTTAACAACTGTTTCGCTCTCCTTCACTTCTGTTCAGACTGAAATTATTCAACCTGGTTTAAATCCTTGAAAGTGTGAATTTTATGTTTTTTTTCCGGTTTTTTTGTTGTTGTTTTTTTTTTGTCCCTTTAGAGGCCTTAAAGCGACGGCAGTCTATTGTTGGAGAGAAATCCACGATTCTTTCTAGATTGCCGCAGAACAAAGGAGACACACGTGGAGCGACCCAAACCAGTTACCAATCAGCTGAGTAAGTGTTTAAATAAAACTGCTCCGTCTGACATGGAGTCAAAGAGGAATATACATTTGAACTCCAGCCAATAAATCAATGTGAATTATAAATGCAGCTTTGTACATTAACAGCTCACTCAGAATCAATATGTTTTGTCACTTGAACGCCCCTTTTTGGTAATTTTCTTCCAATTTAAGACCTTAAAGTCTAAAAGTGAACCGAAAGGAAGTTTTGCTCTGGTCCAAATGTCACCACAGACTCGGGTCTGTCAGGGAGCATTTGATGCAAATCCAAAATGTCACATCAGCACGGCTCCCTGCAGTGGATGTGATGTCATGCATAATTTTGTGCAAATTCAAGTGCTGGGCATCCTTTATTGTTGTTGTTGTTGTTTTTTTCTTAAAATGTTGAATATCGGGATTTTTTTTAGCTGAATGTTTAAAGAAGAACCAAAGTCACATTTAAATCATTCAATGATTTTAAGAGGTTTTTAAGATTTCATTAAAGTAAATAAAACATTTGCAACAACAGATTGTTGGATATATTTATACATTTCAAGCATGTATAAATATATCTGTCTGCACAAAAGAAAATATTGTATATTGTAAACGTAATTTTTGTGTCCTTACATTTGATCAGAACAATAAATGCTGATGAAGTTATTCAGCAGTTTTGAATTCAAATAGCAAGACATCATCAGCATATTTTTCTGCATCTCGTGTAACAATTAAGATCTTGGATGTTTTATTTATCTGTTGGATTTATGAGCCGTCTTCGAATACTTCTAGCATATCTTCATTTTTTACAAATCCAGTTGCTGAACTCCTGTTTCGATGTTGCTAAGTCTGCGGGTGAGCTTGTTCCAGGTGTGCACGTCGCTGCGGATGTTACCTGGCCTTGTCAAAGTATTTTCCAGTGTAGGCCATTCCACAGGCGGCTCCGAGGCCCTGACCCAGAGATCCAGTGGCCACATCCACGAACTGCTGCTTCTGTCGGGAAGAACGGCGACACAAGCAGTGAGACGGTACGGCAGCCGGAGCTCAGTGAGACAGAGGATGGATTGTTTTGTCCATCCTCAAGGACATGCGACAGAGGTCCAAACTGGAAATGGGTTTGGGTGTCGTCGTGTCTGGACTCGGTGTGAACAGTGCTGACAATGTCTGCAGCAGAGAACAAACTTTGTTTGCCAAACAGAAAGAGATTTGCAACTGCCTGCGGTGTCATCAGTGAAAATACAGTGCGGAGAAAAATTATTTACTCCCTTACAGATTTTTTTTAATCTTTACTTGCCACACTTAAAAGCTTCTGATCCGTCATCATAAAAAGAAAAGTGAAAATAAAAGATGGTGTAAGTAATTACGGAAAGCAGTTGTCAGATAATTTGAGGTGAAAGTAAGTGGTACTTTGCGTTATTTGGATGCTTTTTTTCTTCCTGCAGCACTCGGTGTCACCTCACCGGCACAGGATGGCCCTCCAGGATAGAGTCGACTTTGCGGAGGTTCAGAAGCTCGTTCTCCTTCAGGTAGCCGACCTCTGCCCAGACAGCATACAGCACAGGAGCTGCATGACCCTGGAGAGGCAAAGGAAAGACGTTAAACAGCTGCTTGGTGATCATTAATAATTATGTGGACATGGTAAAACGTGGCTCAGTGTTTGTCGCTTGTCTTGGTTTAGGGAAACAGGCAGAAAGTGAACAGTGCTGTGTGGCGTAGCAGCACATGAAGAAATAAAATGGCTGCAAATATGTTTATAGTTAAATATGAAACGGAGTTATGAAAACGGTTAACAAGTAGAGATACAAACATACTTTGATGAGCCATTTCCTTCAGTTTCTACTGCAAAGCCTCCGTGCAGATGGGCGTTCTGGTTTTACCTTGGAGAGGACGAAGCGATCATTGTTGGGGTTACGGGGGTCTTCGGGTCGATACTTCATGGAATGAAAGAAGAGCACAGACATGACCTCTGCTGCACTGCAGCATGATGTGGGATGGCTGCAAAAAACAAGAGAGAACTCAGGCATGTGGCTTTTATCCAAAGACAAACGCGATTCTTGCTTAAATCCTCCAAACATGTTCTGTGCAAATGCAGATATGGAGATGAGAATGGGTCAGGGACGAGCAGGAAGATGACCGACATCATGTGATGCCATGATGCGACGACACACCACTGGTTTCTGGAACCAATACACCTGATACGTCTCTGTATGTTATACATCCAGAGAAACTGAACAGTTGCCAAGATATGGGAGAGCCATAATGGTTCAACAGAAACGAGGCTCAACCTTTTGTTCGCAAATCAGCCCAGTTATACCCAACTTAGCAATCCAGACAGGCACTTTCACTGTTTTTGTGTTTAAAAAGGAAATAAAAGAAAAGTGGCTGAAGAGCACTAATAATAATAATAAGTGACTTGCAGTAATTTTGCAAACAAATCGGAATGTCAGATTTTTATTACATTTTCAGCAAAACCAATTAACATTACTCAAGGCCCTCCATCCTCTCCCTCCTCCAAATTCATCCCATATTATAAATGACCTACAATGCATTGAAGGGGTTCTAAATACACGACTCCACTTAGTTGAAGAATAAAAGAAATCTCACTAAAGTAGCATGTTTTAGTTGTCAAAATCCATATGAAATAATTGCTTTTTTTTGTATTTATTTTTTTTTGCCAAATTGCGCACAACCACCAAAAGAGTCAGAGAAACAGCAGCAAACATCCCCAACATCAGATCACGATGCCTTTCGCGGTGATTTCTTGTTCGGTGGCAATAATTTAAAGCAATTTAAAGCTCCAGCCAGCAGGTCGGTGTGTCATCTCGTCTCACCCGCCGCCCGCCGCAGTCGTCGCCCTGATGGAGTTGATTCGGAGCCGGGCGGCGACGTTCCTGAGCGCCTGCACCGTCTGCTGGTCCGGCTTGTGGTAGTCCTCCATCTGTCCGATGCAGCGAAAGAAAGAGAGGCGGAGCGGCAACAACACAAACGGGACAAAACTCAAGGAAAGAGTTAAAAAATAAATAGCCTAAATTAAAAAAAGGCTGCAGGTCAGATGTTCGGTTCAGGAGAATAAAACATGGGAGATGATGGGAGCGCAGAGGACGATGGCAGGAGTTCAGAGGAGGCAGCGCTGAGCGGCGTGAGGGAGTCACGGAGGATGGAGGGAGTGTTTGGAAGCAAAGCCCATGAATATGGATCACATGGCTCTGGAGTTCATCCAAACGCGGCACAACTCGTATGGGTGCCAGGGATTAAATCAGAAACCCGCCTGTGCGTTTCTCGGATCTTTTAATGTGGATCGTTTAATAGATGCAGAGATTCACTGAAGTCAATATCGCGATTCTCAGTTAACAAAACGACCAAAGATTCAACAGCGCCATCGTCCATCCAGATGTTTGCTGAAGGCTGATAGTGACACCTGGTGGACAATACGGGGAAGTGCAACGTTGATTAAATCAATGAAGACCAGCAAGACTTAATCGGGTTTTTGTTTTTTTGTTTTTGTTTTTTACAAAGGCTAAGCCCAGTATGAGTTCAGCTTTGCAATGTCTTAAAGAAGACAAAAAGCAGCACACGTTTTTGAGTTCAGATCTTTATTATCACAAAATATGAATAATGTCCACTTATGCACAATGACAAAAAGAAAAAGAAAAAAACAAATTGCAATGACTTATTCAAGAAACACAACTCTGGCCAGAATGATAAATAATGATCTTAAAATCTAAAATATGACATCTGTTCTAGGATTTATTTCAAAAGGATTTATTTCGAAATCCTAGGACAGATGGACTGGAAAAAAGCACTCATTTAATCAAGATTTCCACTTAGTACCGGAAACATCGACTGACATCTGGTTTGTTCCAGGCTGCACATATTTAACTTTGCATCTCTGAGCTTAATTAAAAAAAGAAAGAAAGAAAAAAAAACAGAAAAGAAACAGCACTGAAGCACAGAGCTGATGTTGATGGCAAACACATTCAAGTCATGATGTCAGTCAAAGGATTTACGCCACAATTATTGGTAAAGATGAGCAGATAAAGTATTAAAAACAGTTTGCTGTAGCAACAGACCAAGGAACACAATGGAGTGGCAATTGGTTGTTTGTTTTTCTTTTTAAATTAGTAATTTATTACACCAATTTCTTGCAGTTATCCAAATGTGAACTCTAGATTTCTTTCACCTGCAGTTTCAATGTTTCACAATGTTTCAGACACAGGTTGGTTTAGGAGAACAGAGAATTTCTTAAAGTCAGTTGCAACTCTTTTTGTGTTTAAAGGCATTTTCTCCAAGTGCCCATTTTGAACAGTGACTAAGAAAATTTGGGTCTTGAAATAGGAAGGTAATTATTAGTACAAATATTTCCTAGGCACTCTGATCAACTAAAAAAAAAAAGCAAAAACATCCATTTAAAAAACCTTCAGTTCAGAATTGTAATTATTAGGAGTGTCAATAAGTGTGGCACTTAGAATTTTGTTAAAAAATAAATAAAGGTTTCTTCATTTTTTTCAGTGAAGGTAAGCCAATACGGTAAAGGATGATTTTTAATTTCCAACTTTATTATGAGTGTTGTATTTAGCAGTTAATATAATCTCAATTTATTCAAGGACGTTTCTGATTTTTCAAAAAAATAAAGCGAAGCAAAATGAAAAAAAATTATTTAAAAAATGATAAAAAGGGCAGACTTTCATACTGCTAACAAAAATACATTGTTTCACTGCTTGTTTTGGAAAATAAATCAGAGCCTGCAAACTAACATCCATAGTTTTGGAGAGGAAAAGAGCCAGCATGCCCATTATGTTGTGACTACAGATGTGGAGAAAGCTTTTGTGGACTAAAACATCTGCAAAATAAACTTTTCTTGTCCCTTGGACTCCCTGGATGTACTATTCCTGTCAGGATTCACCACTAGATGTAGTGCAGTAGTCTTCTACTGCAAAGAGGACAATTTAATTGAAGTTTTACTGATTTTTCTTTGTTTGAAATCAAACTGTAAACAAAAAAAGAAAGTTCATTTCGTCCAATCCAAACTTTAACGACTTGCCCCCCCCCAGTACAGATGAGAATGAAGTTGTTAAAGAAAATTCAACCCCAACTTTTCCTTATGCGTATTGATTATAGAATGAATGTAAACAGGAATCCAAACACCATCATGACATTTTTCCCACTTTTTTGCAGAAGATATTAAAATTCATATAAATCTAGTTCTGCAGTACCTTCCTTAAGCATCTCATAGTGCTGGTCTGAATCTCGTGTGTATTGCACAAGTCTTCTCCCCCGAGAAGGTCAAAGGTCAAGCACTGAGAGCTCAGCTGGTGGAGGAGAGGCAACAGCAAACAAGGATGAAAACAAAAGGATACAGGAACAACTGGAGGAAAGAAAGGATGCAAAGATGGGGCTTTGTGCGATTAGGAGTCACGAATATATTGTACCACTGAACGTAAATTTTAAAAAAATGAAGAAAAAAAAAACTGCTCAAAGAAAAATTCATAATTTATGCTTTTTTGGCTTCAACTGCATCTCGGTAGAAAAGGAAGGTATTTATTTAAAAAAAATAAAAATAAAATAAAAAATTTTTTGTAAATGAACATCCATTGTTTTCCTCCCTTTCCGGGAAGCAATCAGATTTCTTGAAGAAGCGGCCATTAGTTTAACCAGATTCACCTTATTTGGAAAGTACGGCTGAGGGACGCAGAGAAGAAATAGTCTCCCCTTCGTGTTGCCTCGGTTATCCACCGACTGATCCGGGCTAACAGGAGATTCCGGGGGTAGATTGCGCGGCTTTCCTGTCACAATCCTCGGCACACGAACCAGTGGCGAAAAAAAGACAGCGTGCGTCACAAACCTGCCTGCTCATTCTTCGTTTTCTCCCAAAATCATGTGTCCTCTTCTGTGGCCAGAAAGAAGCCCTAACACTGAAATGATGTCCGCTTGAAGCCAGACTACAGCTTCAAGCTGCTGAAGTCCTTGGATACGCTCTGCAGGTAAGCGTCATGAATGGCACTGAGGAAGTCCGAGTCATTCTGGAGGAGGGAGCGAAAAAAGTAGAATGATTAAAATGTGTACTAAATGTGGCACCCCTTTAAAAAAGCCTTACAATGAAAGTTCATGTAGTAGCACAATGTTCCACAAATTTTTCTTCAAATCCTCCTTTTTATTTGAGCTCAATTATCACTTGCAACATCAAAATTCTACATTAATCTTTTTTAAATTAATAACTGTGGCAATAATGATTTTCGCTTAAAAATGATTATTTAGCCCATTTTTCACAACTGAATAAATGTAAAAAGTTATTTTTTTTTTTTTGTATTTTCAGAATGAGGACATGTTAATGCAATAAAATCCATTGTTTAATGGCCACTAGAGGCGCCAATAGACAGACAGTTAGCATAAGCTTGTCAGGAAACTGTTCTTATTTTGATTGTTTGACAGACTCCAGATGACCAGTACCTTAATGAGGTGTATCAAAGTGTCCTGCAGCTGAGTTTTACTGCAGGGGGCCTGCAGACTCTCTGCAGCTCTTCCAGAAGCAGAGGATGGATCCGGAGGGGCGGCCGGGATGACCGGTACTGTTGTAGTTTTATTTGTAGTCTGCTGGAAAGCACTTGGGGAGAGCAGCACTGAAGCATGTGAGCCTGGAACAGCAAGACCAGGGCTCATAGGAATAGCCTGAGAGGAAAAAAGAAACAAAGAAAGAAATATGGTGATTTAAGAACAAATACTGGTAGAGCATCAGTTACCAGAGACAAACAGCAAGAAGCTGAACTCACAGACATCGGCGCAATCAATTTGGGAGGCTGAGAGAAAACGTCCTTCTTGGGCTCTTGGAAGCTGTGAGGGGGGACCAGCGTGCTCGGCAGGAAGCTGGGAGCCAGGATGGGTTTGTGGATGCTGGAATTCACAGATGAAGCTGCTGGCTTGAGAGAGCTAACAATGTCCTGTCCCAGAAAGGCAGATGAAGGTGCTGCAGGTGCGGCGAGGTTATTCTGATGCTCCGATCCAGCTGGAGCCATCAGCAGAGGGGAGACGGAGCAGTGAGGCTGGGGGTCTGGCATGGGGATCATGGCCTTGAAGACAGGACTGGGATTGAGTGTGTAGGGGGTGGGGATGGGAGCAGGTCCGTGTGGCTGCTGGCTAGAGCCGGGGTCGTGGGTTGAGAACTGCTGGGTGAGGAGAGGAGCCTGGTGAGCTGCAGCAGGATACGGCTGCTTCTGCACATAGGCGCTCGGGAGGCTGCCAGAGGAGGAGGATGAGGCGGCGTTCTGCGCAGAATGTTCTTTAGGGAGCGGAGAACCAAAGAGCTCCTCAACAGTGATCTGCTTCACCATGGTGTGAGAGCTCTGGGTGGTAGACAGTGCAACATGATTAGCTTAAATCAGTGACTGGTGCAAGATAAACAAAACTCGCATTAATACAATACAATCGCAGATTGTGTCACACAGATAAAGACAAAGGAGAAACTGTGAAAAGAAAATTATGAAGGGCTTCAAAATATTTTTGCAAATACAATTCTGAAAAGTGTGGCGTGCTTGTACTCAGCAGCCTTTACAAAAATTTTATGTTCAGAAGTCATCCAAACAGCGTCTAATTTAACCTCAGTGTAAATCCAACTTTTAGAACCACTGCTCAAATAACTTCATATTTGTTTAATTTTTAATTTGAATTATATTAACATAAGATAAAAATATGTGGAATAAAAAAAAACTGATCTATATACACCGCTTGGATGATGACATTTTTGTCTTTTGTCACTTCTGCTACTTTCATTTCAATAAATGTTTTCAGGAATTAGAATCGCTCCATCTTGACTTCAGTTATTAAATTACTTCTCAAGAAGACTGGCTTTAGTCTGCAGCATAACCAGCTCTGGTTTCCAAATGCAAATGTTGGAAAATAAATAAATAAACAAGCTACCTTTTCAGCTGGATGTGTACTGTGTGCAGGTTCTGGGACCCTGCTGATGCTCGTTTTCAAATTTAACTCTGCAGACGCGTCTGTTTCTCCACTCTGGGCCTTCAAAGCACACAAGACATGTAGAATTGACAAATTTAAGTTAATTTATCTAAAATCGACACAGGGAACACATACAGAATAAAGAAAGGTTTAAGAAGGATGGGACAGGTTTCAAAATTTAAAACCTGAAAAAATAACCAGGTGTAAAGCTACATTTATTTAGATTTGGTGCCTGATGTAAAATGTTGAAAATGCAACAAAGAAATATTAATGCTGATTTTTCTAATATTTTCCATTTTCTTTGTGATGCTTTTCTAGACCTGGGAGACATCAAATAAATAGTTTTCAGAAACTACTTAGACGTTAATATTGTTGCCACCTGGTGGCAGCATTTGGACATTACATCCATTTTGACAGAATAGGACAATGTCTTTTTTTCAGAAAAAAAAACACCTCTTCTTAGTAGAGTGTCTAGGAGCTGCTATGCCTAAAATAATCTACTTTTTTTCTACAACATAAAAACATATTTTCAAAACTCTGTGTTGATGTTTCAGTGAGGAGAAGCAAGACATTCACTGTTATATATTTTACAGTAAAAATGCTGTCCTGTAAAGATGAACAGAAACAATGAGGGAACACGAGGCGCTCCCTCACCCTGTGGTATTCCTCCTTGGCTTTGCTGAGCAGCTCCAGGATGTCGATGGGTCGGGATTCTGCGACTCCATTGGTTCTCCCTGGGTCCATCCTCTCTGGGGTTTTTCTCAGGGCGTGGTCCATTTCTTGTTTCACAATCCTGGAGAATAGGTTGAGGCAGGGCATGTGCTTTTCAAATCAGAATGACTTTGATGATGTATTATCATCATTGACACTCGCCTGTCAATTTGCTGCTGATGAATATGTGAATTTTCCTACTGAAGGACAAACAAAGGAAGATTCCAGTCTTTTCTACAAGTTGAGAATGTCAAACTTGAATAGTTTAATCAGACCTACTGCGATTCAATTACATTTTCATTTCCAGTTACGAACAAGAACCAAAACAAAAGTCAAGTTTCCAAAAAAACTTAATAAGAGGGACACAAAGTAATGTCCTCCTGCTCAAAAGTACACCCATCTGCTCTCGTATATAAACTCAATAATTGGTTAGGGTTTGCATGAATTACTGCCTCAGATCTATGGAATATGCTGGCCTTCATCTTCTCTGCATTGCTGGGTTTGTTATGTCTGTGAAAAACCTGCTTAGATTCTCTGTGACATTCGGGTCAGGCAGTTTACTGGCAGGTTAAGCACCAAGATGCTACAGGTATTATAGCTGGAATTGGTACTTTTGTGAGTGCGGCCAAGTGCCAAGAGCTCCAGTTAAATGAAATCAACATTTCTATACAGTTTATCTGCTGAGGGAAGCATCCTCTGCTGAGGATAAAATGTCCTGGTAGACAAATATGCTTACTTTGGACTTAAGAAGTCTTTCTTCCTGTAAACTCCAAATGTAACTTTCATCTTACAAAAAGGAACTTTTAAACAGAAGAAGAGTCCAATCTTTTTTTATCCTCAATAATAAACTTCCATTATCTCTGATTCAGAAAAGCCAAAACACAAAGAGTGATAGTTTAAGTTCACATCTTTAAAAAAACCAGCACTGACCCAACCTGCTGTTCAAAGCTTGAGAATCTCTTGATAGAGTTTTATTTGTTTAAGTGTGTCCTTATCCCTGCAGCTCCTGCACCTTTTTCTAACACACTTTTTCCTCCTTATCTTTTCATTAGCAGTCTTGGACATTGCACTGTTAACAACCAGCGTCTTTAACAATCACTTTTTGTTGACGTTTCCTGGACATCTGTAAAGTACGCAGTCTTCCTTGTGATTGTTTAGGCCATAAAATAACAGAGTAACTTTTTTTTCATCCTTTTCTGGAGACCTGAATTTGAAGTTTTCATTTAGCTGTTAGCCATAACTGACAGAAATAAATGCTTCAAATGTTTTACTCTGTATGCAATATGGTGTTCCCTTTTACAGATGAATTTACAAACTATTTCAAAGATATTCTATTAAATAGAAAAGTGTAATTTTAAGCTTTTTTGTCATCTGGAGGAGTTAATACTGCTTTAATGACTCAAATCAAAGAGGAAAATGTCTCATTTTATGTACAAGTAGACCCAAATGAATATTCTTACTTGACCATCAGCTGGGCGATGCGGTGACAATCCCGTTTGTCGTAGAACCAAATGCTATAGATACCCACTGTCAGAAAACACAAACACTTCATTTTAGAGAATGTTTACTGTGAATATCTAGAGAACAATTACACTAGACAAAGCTCTGCACTTTAAAATACTAGACAAACAAAGGAGAACATCTTGGGATGTGTCTAAATCTAAACGTATTTTTTTTAAATATCAGTAACGTATTAATTAATAATTTAATGATTAGATGAACATTCAGATTTGTTTAAGGGAATAAGTTTCCAAACTCCAAAATAATCAGCAAACAAGAAGGAAACTTCACCTGCCTTGAAACAAAACTGAAGGTTTTCCTGCTTTCACCAAAGTAACAATAATTAGTCAACAGAACAATCTTGTTATTTGTGTGTGACAAAATGCTGGTGCACTCAGGGACCCTCCTGAGGCTGAGCTAGCCTAGCAACCCAAGTGTTTGCCTCCCTGCGCACCCTCCTGTTAGCAGAGGGAATATGAAAAGATGTAAACAAGTGTCTTAAAGTCCATGTTTCTCTCCAATAGCATACTTCAAATCTGAACACAAACCACAGCCTGCAGCACTTAGTTCAATGGCGCTCAAACGGGACTGGATTTAGACTCAAATAATCACTATCAAAATCTCTGTGAGGAATTCCCCTTCCATCTTCTCGACACTCTGCTCTTTTATAACCATCCTTCTTCTGCAGATTTTTAACTTTGTACAATTCATCTTAAGATCAGAAGCCAGGAATCTGTTCTAACAGCTAGACATTTACAGCAGCAGCTGAACAGCAGACCAGAGAGTGAGAGACCTAGATCTGGAGCCAAGGCGAACTAATGGATCAAAACCAAGGAGGAATTACAAAAACAACCTTCAGTCTCTAGTAAGGCAATAAGAGGAGCTGCTGATTTGGATACCCGGCAAGTTCCTGCATCATGTCGTCCATTCCAGCGAGGCTGATGGGGAAACCGAGTCCAAAGGGGGAGCAGTCTACTTTAACCCTCACCTTGGCTATGCTATTTTTTCTCATAAGCAAACAAATGGGAAAGCAATCCAACTCTTTGTTCGTTGCCGTGATGAAACTTGTCTTCAGACTTCTAATAGATTACCTAGGCGGCAATGCTGTCAGCTACTTTCTGAAGATCTGAGGGACTTTCTGACATTCCTTTTTGCTGATCTGACTCTAACTTACAGTAAGATAAACATCAAGTAGCAGTCTGGTGCCGCAGTCAGAGTTTGGTGGGTTTGATTCTTTCCCAAATGCAGGAAGACGGCAGCAGCCAAGCTGAGCTGGAGTTGCTGCATGGCGAGCGACGGCCATGAATAACAAGGTTTTCCTCCTCAATGCGTCAAGGAGACTCAAAGATGACTTCATGCAGAACGGACGAGAAATGTTCCACCGGACGGTGGGAAGATGTTTGTCTAGCCTTTTCAGAGGTAAACCTTTAACACCAGTGTGACAGCGACTGTGTGTGCTTTGAGGTACAAATTAACTGTGACAGACACACACAAATGTAAAAGACTCTCAATGCATAATAACAATGAGAAGAAATTCATTTTTTATTGTATTTACGAGGAAACTTGAAACAAATTTCCAAGTTTTTAACAGAAAGAAACAAATACTCATCCTGCTGTTAACAGTATCACAGTTCTAATCAAATTTATAGCATTTGTTTATTGTCTTTTTTTGCAAGTAGCAGAACTGTGCAATCACCTTTACTGGGCAACTTTGGTCACTCCAACACTTGTTATCGCGTTAAGTATTGTTCAAATCAGGTGCAAAATGACCCTTTGAAGAAACAAGAAGTGCATCTGAAGATTGAAAAACTAAAACTGACTAAACCCTTTGAGATCTGTTCGAGCTGAGAAATCTCTTAAGTCTATATTTTTTCCTCAAAACACTCACAGTTGCCATTCCTGTAGAGCAGGAAGGGATCCTGCAGCTGGAACTCCAGATCTTTGTTTATCGGCTCCACAAGGTTCTCTGTACTCAGTCGATTCATGATGGTGAAGCCATGGTGAGGCGAGGCAGACCTTTGAAAAGGACAAACGGTATACAAATCACTTATGTTAAATACTTTCCATTTTCAGCGTTAAGTATTATTTACAAAATTAGCTTAGTCTTTGAGAATTCAAAGCTACGCTATCATAGTTATCTATTATTGATCTGAATATGGTATCAAAACAACAATATTCTGTTTACTGCAATGATTACAGGGATAATTCATCATCCAGCAAAGATATAATGAAAGCTGTAGTCAAGTCTTTCTCTGTGTTGTCAGCTTTAAATCAGCACTGCATTTGTTTGGTACACATGTGTACAAAACAGAAAAAGCTATACCAAAAACTCTTGGGTTTGAATTTGTGCCCTGTTGAACTCCTAATATTTTCTCAGGAAATTTACAAGTTTATTTTTTACATTAATTTTTTAATTTGACATCTATACAATATAGACATCTAAAGTCATGACAAAACTTACAATGCGTTTCAAGTCAAAGGTTCAAAGGTAAACCAAAACTAAGTTTAGCAATAATTTAGCTTTCAATGATCTAGCTTTTATTGAATGAAATGAAAACAAAACTTCATGCAAAGATCTAAGTACAACCTTACTGTTTCCAAATAATATGAAGTAAATCGCTCCGCACATGTATGTGGAAACCAATGAATTGTCAATCCTTCCAAGAAAATTTCCAACTAACCTATTCTAAAGCCAAAGAAGACGAAAAAGAAAAAAGTATCAAATGGGACACCGTGGATCTAATCTTTGCTCTAGAAGTTATAACACCATGGGATATGCTGTGTCTGTGCACTTGAAGCAGGAAAATACTTTTTTTTAAATCATGTATATTTCTCCAGTTGAAGGAGCAGGCGATTCCATCACATGGCCCTGTTGTTTACAAGAACCGCGGCCTGCACACGTGTGCTAAATACGTCAAATGACGTAGCAAACACCAGTAAACAACCTTCGCGATTCTCCGTTTAAACACAATTTATACATCTTGTGTGCTTACCTCGAATAAACAAATAGAGTTCCTTCGATTTCAGTCTTCTCCTAAAATAAAAAACATGCGGTTTCAGTCAGGAACAATTACTGCAAAGCCAAATCGGGTTAAAAAAAAAAAAAAAAAAAAAAAAAAACAGCGGCTACAGCTAGCCGCTGCTAGCGAGCCTCGGTTAGCTTAATAACGCCGATAATCTACGTATTTCCCACAGAGTACAAGAACAAGGACCTGGATCGAACCAGACGTCCACCAGTGCTGCCTGGATAAACTTTAACATGATTTACTAAAACGTCTTTAATCATTTTTATTTTAGAGAGAATAGCTAATGTGCTATACAAACATGTAGCTAGCTTTGTCCATTCTTCCCAAACTTACCCATTCGTTCACTTTGGAGTTGAAGTTGTAGAGAGCTACCTGGCCGGTAACATCCAGCAGCTTGTTTATATACGGGTCTTGTCTCTGCAGAGCCGCTAAACTCATCATATGTCCCGCAGTCAAAGTCTCCATCTTCGGACGGATTTTCTGCAAACACTTGCAGCTTCCGCCGCACCCGGAAATAGTGGCGTCCAAAAATGTCCCCGGAGAACCCTTTATCTCGTCTCAAAACTTTTAACTTCAGAAATTGTTACGAGGTTTTATAACTTCTTATTTTTTCCATAGCTCGTAAATAACACGAAAAGGTAAATTAATAAGTAATTTGATCGCGTATGTAGATTATTATTATTATTATTATTATTATTATTATTATTATTATTATTATTATTATTATTATTATTATTATTATTATTATTATTATTATTAGTTAATCTTGTAAGAAAAAAAGCGTGAATCTATCATCATGTTTGCTTAGTTTAAGGGCATTCAGTATTCCAGGACGATTAAATGATATTGTTGCTGCATTTAAAAAAAAATATTAATGCAAATATATCAGTGCAGTATATATGCATATTTATTGATGCATCTGTTGCATATATTGATAGCACATGCAAGGATCATGGTGTATTTTAAAACAACAAAACAAATTCAGTCTTATCAGTGGATTTTGTTTGTATGTTGCAAAACTCCCCACCCCCCAAAAATGAATTTCTCAGCAGAGGGATGATCTGTTCATAATGATTAAACAAACAAGCTCCACCTTGTAGGTGTAAAAAGTTCCAGCATTCCTCAGTAGATTCTTTCTGTCTGATGAACACAATTAATATGGATTAAGTGTAGAAACCTCTATTGTAAAACAAGAGGTGCATATTTGCAGTTTTAACCAAAAATATTTGACATATATAAGGTTGTGTGTATTTTTTTTTAAATTTCCTCTAAAGTTTTTATATTTAACGGTATTCGTAACATATGTAGGCTATCCTGAGCATATCAAACTGAAGTCAACTTCCCTGTTTAAAGACACAAACTTGGCCATTAAATCTGATTCTTATTCAGCACATTGCAACATATAGAGAACCCCAAAAGAATTTCATCTCAATGGGTTATCGCTGCTTACTTTTAATGATTGTAATTGTGCCATTCATGTTCCAAATATGCCAAAATTAGACTAAACTTAACCTGTTATTGAATTTGATGGTACTGTTTAGGACAGGACTGGACAGGAACTTGACATATCGTCTCGTGAAGTGCTTTGACATCACTGTTGCTGTTAAATGATTATGTAGTCCACAGAAAATATATTCAATTGAATTACTTTAACACTAAAAAGAGAACAAACAACAACAAAAAAACACGTTTTTCTATTATTACACCAAAGATCTTACAGAAGAAGTGCTACATCTTACTCAACAATAAAACATGAAAAAGCATTGTTAGAGCTGTTTTAAAACAAAATAAACCAAATTTCATGCCTCTTAGTGGAAGTGAAATTCCAACAACAGTGACAGTGCAGGACGTTGAGGGATAAAATAGGTATATTATCATTAAATAATGATAATGCCAAGCCCACTTGCTTGGCCCTGCTTCTCTAGTCTGGGGAACATTGGAGCAGGGATTATAATCGCAGGATTACGCCTCTGCGGTGAAACTGTTTTATCCCCAGTGCAGGCACAGGTAATCCAATCACTGCTAACCTTCCACCAGAGCCTCTCTGAGCAAATTCATTTCCCTCTGCATCGCCGTCGAGTGAGCACACGCAACGGCGCGATGAGGCCCGGGAGAACAGCGAGGTGACAGAATGCCGTTCATTATAAGGGGGAGACCCCTCAGGGGTGAGTCTGATGAACAAAGTGGGTATTTGCAAACCGTAGAGAAAAAGACTAGATGACGTAATTCAGCCACGATCACCAGATCCTGGTTTTCCAGTGCCATCAATGCCCTCCCCTCCCGCCTTCCTCCTTCACCAAAACTCTACTTTTACACGTAGGAGTAAACTTTTGTCTTTCCCTCCAGGTTGTAAGCAGCGTCTGAAAACAATTAGCATCGTTGTGTGGATGCGTCTCTCAGGCTCGCGCCGCCTCGCGCGTTTTCTGCGCGCACACTGTTCTGGTCGCTCCAAACTTTCCGCAGGTCTCCCCTCTCTCTCGCCCTGCCTCGCAGTGAGAATAATTGACAGCAGCGGATTGACTGGCCAGCGCCGCCGCCGCCGCCGCTGCCAGCAGCCAGTCCTCTCGGATGCGCCGTAGAGTGTGTGCAGCCAGGCAGGCACCCGGATGTGTGGCGAAAATGTTCGGCGCTCCTCTCAGGGTCTGCGCTCGGAAAATCTTTTATAGTTCAGGTTAGCGCCTCCGCTCCGGGTTCCGCTCAGTCGTCTTCAGGGGAGGAGGGGGGAGAGAGGAGGGTTTCCTTCCAACGATGAGTTGGATTTGAAACGGATTTTTTTTTTTCCGATGTGGATTCGAGGATGCAAGAGGCGGATGAACAGTCTGAAGGTAAAAAAAAAAAAAAAAAAAAAAAAAAAAAAAAGCAAAGCTGCTGCGCGCTGAGAGCAGGAGGAGAGTTGGAGCGCTGAGGGGGCGAGAGCGCTCGTTTGATTTTATTCCCTGGCTCTCCCCATTACCTCGCAGATTTTTATCCGAGTCGTGCCTCCTGTTGAGAGGATGCTCACAGGTTCTCAGTACGAATTTCTGAGAATATTTATTTGCATATAAATGCAAATGCGTTGCTTCAACATTTCAGCTCCACTTAGAAGCGGGGGGGAAAAAAATGGTTGACGGTATTAGTTATAATGCCATGATCGATTGAAAGTGAAGGGTGTTTGGGATGCTGCATGCGAGGCAGAACAAACTCAGAGATGCTAAATGTTTTTGAGCAAGTTCTATTTTTTTTCTAAATTAGTAAAGAGACGCAAAAGTGCTGCAAACCAGAACTCAAATAATGTCAATTGAGCTAAAATGGTAAAGTCATGATTGTTCCAGTGATACATGATCATGTAAGGCAAGACAAATATATGTCAAGACTTTTTATACAAGAGATTGCCAGAGCAGTGCAAAGTTGAGTAAAAATACATTATTTTAAGGTATAAAAAATATTTTAGACAAAATTGGTAGCATAATCTGCTTTTATTTAAAAACAATGGCTTTAAAAATAATACAACATATTACTGCTATTTCTATCATGGGCTTGTTGCTGTTTGGATTTTTATGTGTTTGATTCATTCTTTGGACCGGCTGTTCAAAAAAGTCTGTATAAGTTGACATTCGTACATATTTAAGCAATCTAGATAAAAATGAAATTATGTGATTTTCAAAATCAAGGGATATGTGCACGTATAGTTTTTGAGAGGGTGTCACTTTGACATGACACAAAAACTCTTGGTTAATTAAGATGTTTACTTGAGAAACAAATGCTTACATTTAGTGCAAGAAAAAAATATTCATGCTTGCAACATTTTTTTTTTTTTTATCAATAATTGACAATAGCGATGATGCGTGCTTGCAAATCATATAAGAATGTTGCTTGGCCAGCATTTTTATACTGTAACATTTGTTTTCTTTACATGGCTATGCGAGGTGATTCTCCTCATTTTTAATGTTTTTTCAATTCCTGAAGTCTCCAGGTACTAAAATCTTTGGTCAGAAATACACATTATTCATGCTTTACCTCATCTATGAACTATTTTTGTGGTAAAAATGCTTTCACTTTTCTTAACGCTGAGTGTGAGTTCCAAAAACAGTTTCATTTTGATTGCGTGTCAAGTATGGATCACCTCCAGCCTTTACACCATTAAACTGTGGGGACAATGCTAGATGAAAGAAATCATTTTGGGATCCTGGAACCAAAATGTTTTGAAACGTTGAGAGAACTTCAGACCAAATAACCCGCATATACAACTCTCAGCTCTCAATTAACAGTTTCAAAAAATTTGCAACTATTCATACACCAAATTAAAGTTTTTACTAAAACTTTCAGAAATCAATTTTATGACCCTTCTCTCTTTCCTTTCGCATGGGTCAGATTATCAGATGGAAACATGGATATTCTTCCAGGATTGTTTTCGTTTGGTGACATGAAGTGTTGCACAGCATGAATGGGGTGTAATTCTCTTGTGCAGAGCACCAAACTGTCAAGGGCACTGTCTTTTTTCACTCATGTCCTGCATTGATTTTAACGACTGCCTCCCTCAGTCACACCGGCTGTCCCACTCTCCTACTCTTCTGTAATCCTTTTGAACCGTTCCTCCTCTGCTCCCTTTTCTGCCAACGTATTTCTGGACTGCTTCCTGTTGGATGCTTGAGCACATTTCTAGCAAATTGTAGTGCAAGACAGAATTGTTCCACAATGTAAAAGTTGAATTTAGTTGTTTCTGGGATGACAGTCTTTTTTATTTTATTTTACTTTTTTACCTTCAAATTAAATTCTGGGATCTTTAGGTGGAAACTCAAATGTAGATAATCCCTTAAACTGCACAAAGTGACCGGTCCGCATCAAGAGCGTCAAAGCCATAAACATTTATTTTGCTCTTGTCTTATAAAAAACCCCAATAAACTTTGTTGGATGATTTTGGTTCGTTTTCCGTTGACTGGGTTTCGTTTTTACTGAGGTATTCAAAGCCTAAATACTTGACTCTCACTGACTTGGAGGCTTTAATGATTTACAGCAACCAAGTCATTTCATTTCATAAAAAGCTTTAATGAATTTCAAATACAATAACTTATTTATCATAATTTTTTTTGCATTATCCATACAGAGTGAAACATATATACAAACTAGGTATGGCTTAGCAAGTTCCTGACTCTGTGAAGCCATCAACAATCTGTCAGGGTAATTCTTTTTTTTTAAATTTATTTATTTATTATTTTTTCAGAGCTCATTTAAATTGTTTGTATGATTGAGGGAGATTTGGTTCAAAAGCTGTTAGTCAGCCGTATCAAGCCCAGTTTTAAAGTGCGTTTGGAATTTTTGTTCCAAAACTCCTAGATTTCCAAATTTTTAATGTCAGGCTGTTAATATGAGATGAAACAAAGAAATCTTCTGTATTTTCCATCCAGTTGGCTGTGAGAAAGCTCCACAACATGATACAATTGTCACAGAGTTTCCCAGTTAGTGTATCAGTTTTAACTTTCACTTCACTTCCCCAAACATAGTTCTGTCCTTTGTGGTCAAAAAGCTCAGTTATTATATTTCTGTCTTGCAAATTGTCTCAAAACATTCTCGTCTGTTTTCCACCCTGTCTTTCCAGGGGCACAATATGCCAGCAACAGAAAGACCACTCTTTCCAGTGACACTCCCGCGCTCTGGTCTGACAGCCGTACCAGCCTCCACCAGCTCCCTTCACCAGAGGCCGTTCAGGCTCCGGCCAGCACTGGCAAGCCTATCGGCTCCTCTTGTGGGCTCCTTGGGGCGAGTAGTAGTAGTCAGGGCCCAGGTGGGTCTGGTTCTGGTGTCAGCCCAGTTCTTGCATGGCATGCTGCCATTACTGCTGCTCGACAAGCGCAAGATGATGTCGAAACGCCTGAAAAGGACTCGTGTCCTGCGGCTTGCGCTTCTGGACCGGCTCCTGTTGGCTCACTCGCACAGAGGAAGAGACAGCAGTACGCCAAAAGCAAAAAGCAAGGAGGATCCACCAACAGCCGGCCACCCAGAGCGCTGTTCTGCCTCACCCTCAATAACCCGATCCGAAGGGCCTGCATCAGCCTGGTGGAATGGAAGTATCTTTTTGTCAGGAATTGCCACATTCATTAAAGGCTGACCTTTAGAGATGACCTCTAGATCATTTGAATGAATTTCAACCAGAAAATGCCTGGAAGCAGTGTGTGTCTTTACTTTGAACACAATAACTTTGGAGGATAAACTACACGTGCCTTGTTGCTTTGCTTGCAGTGACTAATAAAGAATACTGCGGTGAATGGAGTCACTGACATAATGTTGACTTAATATCTCAGTTAATGCATGAGAAGATGAAGCACTGCAACAAAGCACCGCAAAATAATTAAACAACAGATAAAACATATCCAAGAGATGGGTGGTTATTACTGCTGCATACCCTGAGTACATTTTGAAGTAAAAACTTTCATCTTTTGAAAGTTATTTCACCCCATTGCTATTTGAATTGAAGAAAAAGTTGGTAAAGATGATAAAACCAAAAGTATGGCTTCAAAAATAACCTTTTACTGAAGCCGAGGATGTGACAAAGTGAATGTGAATATTTCTTTCCTTAACTTTTTCCTTTCAGACCATTTGATATATTTATACTTCTATCTATTTTCGCCAACTGCGTGGCCTTAGCCATCTACATTCCCTTTCCTGGAGATGACTCCAACTCCACAAACCAAGAACTGGTGAGTAGTATTGTAGATGCTGATTTCAGCTGTGCACTATTAGTCCATTATTAGCTTAATAATGGACTAATATTAAACTAAAAGAAAACAGATCTTTCCAAATTACTAAGTTGTCATGTTGGAAATAGCAATAAAAAATGATATGTCCATTTGGAATATACTGGAATACTGGAGATAACGTGATAAAATGGATTTATTCTTTTTGAGCATTCATTTTAGTCAATCTACAATGAGATTGACTAAATTTGCAGAAGCAAATTTGACATTACACATTCTTAGGATGTTAGGTGTCAGATACTGTACAAATGAATATGGATGAGTTTGTCTCACATCAGAGTTTGTAACACGCTAAAATTACATCCTGATTCAATATTGGGCTGTATCTGAAATAGCATTTTTTATTGCTTTCCTGATCCATACCCACATATCCAAAACAATAATTCCCTATGTTCTTGTCTGTTGTAGTAACAAAAAGCACCGGTGCGACTAATAACATTAGCAGGCTCGGTCTGGATTAGTGTCTCTGCAGTGCCGGTCACTGACACGGGTGTCTGATCCAGGTCCCTGAAACTGGGTCATTAAAATTGGATCAAGCCTTGTTATTATTTACCCCTGAGCTCTCTCTGCTTCGACTTTCAAAGTCTGTTGAGGCTATTTGTACGGGGGAAAGTCCACATCTTCAACAGGACTGGATGTCATGGAAGTTAGTGGGGTAAACCTTGCTTCATAAAAGATGCAAAGGGTATCTCAGGGAAGAACTTTTGGATGGAGGTAGATGCGCGTTGTTGACGGTATCACAGCTGAATGAACTGAGCAGAACATTCTGGTTGGACTTAGATCCCCTGAACAGAGCTGGAATGTATTGAAGCCACAGTTTATGTAATGCCAAAGAACAACTTCCAAGGAATGTGTGGAAGTAAACAGATTGCGCTTGATTTAAAGACCAACAGAATACCATGCAAGTCTATTGAATTTATTAGTTTACCAATATGTCCTCATCATCTTTGAAACTTGAAACATATGTACAGTGAACCGAAAAGTGTTCATACTTCTGGAAATTAGATGCGTTTCTTCTGACTGGAAGTGATGTTGTGATCCAGGCAGAGACGCAAGTTTAATTACATAGAGAAACTATTGAGAAAGTAAATAATTTGGGTGATTGCAAGTAGTCTTTCCAACCTCAATGACTTGGATTCACTAAAGAGAAATCATCAAAATACCAGTGAATATGTGTAAAAGGCTAGTTTGCAGTGATAACAAGGGTGCAAATAAAGTTTTTTTTCCTGATTGCTAAGTAGAGGTAAAACAACAATTACTGATTCTTCATGCTACTATTGTTTTCTCTATTTTCCAACCAAGATTTACATAATCCCCAGATCAAAGATTGCCAGGTTATTATGCTGTTTCCGGATGAAACAGTAGATTTTTACAAAAATGCAACGTGCAGCAGAAATCAAAAAGATAGTAGGCAACATGACAGTGTCTTTTAGATTTCTGCTGCACGTTTCAGTTTTTACAAGGAAGTTTTTCAAATGAAGAGGTATTCCCTCCATTTGCTCATCACTAGCACATCATCTTCATTAGTCTGAGGTATTTAGGACGAGGCTAAAGAGAACAATATCCTTATACAATGTTAAAATATCTCAAATTTTCTCTCAATTGTTTTCTTACTAACGCCATAAGATTTATTGAAAGTGTTGCCATAAAACTTGCTGTGAAAACTTGATTGTTGGTAGTTTTTTTCAGAGGCAGTGGCTATTCCAAAATTTAGATCTCTGTTCTGTAATTTAATTTCGAATAACTGTCGTTTGACATGGAGCTACTTTGGTTGGAAAAACAGAAAAACGTCACCATTTGCAGCTCCAGACAGCTGCTGTTGTCACGTTCACTCTACTCACTACGTCACATTTGTTCCGATATGGTTGACCTCAGCCTTTTTCTTTTCCATTTTGCTCAAAGATCATTTGCAATATTTGTAGATGCCTGACTAGTTTGAATGTCATATTTAACTGATGACAGGCTATAAAGGGCATGTTTAATATTGTACGTAATCAACAAACATAAAACATTTGTCCTTCACAACAATCACTTTTAGCCCCGTTTGCAGAAAATGTCAATTCACGGCATTTTCACCATGCAACAAATCGGTCGTGCATAAAAAGAAAAACAAAACAAAACAGAAAGCTCAGGTTCAGAAATATTTACTGGACAGAACAATTTGCTGAAAGAGCAATATAAATTTCTGATGTTAGATAATACAAACATTCACATTAGCATCCGAAGGCTTTTTCATACAGACAATACATCCACTGCCTTCTTTTCCTCACTGCGTCTGGCAAGCAGCCTTCTTAGGCTCGGAGGGAATTGTGTGTGTATAAACCAGTGAGACGGACACAGTTTCATAGTCTATCAACAGATGGGGATTATTCACACTGCCCAAGTCTACACTCATCTCTTTCTACCCAATGTACAGTATGTGTAGCTGAGGAAAACAATAATCATTTTGCAATACATAGTTTGTCTAATGAAATGTAAGAGACATATGCTATATAGTTTTTTCTGTTTGGATGTTGAAGGAATAATTAATTTCTTCTTATCGAAATAAACAGGGTTACTTAGAATATATTACCAGTGGGGATGGGACTATACTTTTTTGAGATTATTTAAGTTTTTCTTGCTGAGTTTTTTCAACTGGACTTAATTTTAGATTCATTATTTAATCCACTAATTGTTTCCAAAAAATAATCTACAAGTTGTTTATTTTTTAAACCTGAGAGTCCAAGTCAGGAAGACAACCAAATAAGCTGTTTCATGGAACGTTGACTGTGTTTCATAAGTGCAGCAGCCATGTTGGATGTTTAACTCGGCGTTGCTCCTAGAATGGCGAATGTCCAAGTTGCAGTTTCAGTTTCAGCAGATTGTCAATTTGATGTTTTCACCCAGGTGATTGGAAATTCCTACATTCTTGTAAACTGAATGCACCATATGATGCATGGCGCCATCAATTCTCACCATTGCCAACTAGTCAGCATGGAAAGTAGCTCTTGGCTTTCCTAAAAGTCGCTAGAAGTCTCTATGACATCATTGCCTAATTTCCATACTTGTGTGATGTGGGCAGTAGAAGAAAGTGCTATCACTCTTGGTGAGACAAAAAGTGATTAAGAAGACTGAATATGTTTAGAACTACAAATAATTTAATAATGTAAATATTTAGCTGAAGCTACAAGGATCAGTTTTGCATAATATCAAATATGATCTAAAGTATTTATCAGAAGCACACACATTGGAGGAGGAGAATCAGTGACTGAGGCTGTGCGAATCAAATTTAGGGAATTATTTTAGTGCCACCGCAACATGACAAATGATTTTCATATTATATTTACATCCTTTGTAATCTAGAGCCAGATCACTGGTAGCTTTGTGCATTCATGATTCAATTGCAGTGTGGAAACAGAGCGAAGTGGGTCTCCTTTCGGCCCTGACTGCAGGCTGGGTTTGCTGTAAGCATGTTGGAGGTGCAGGAGGACGGAGGGGCTCACGGCAGCACTCACTGTTAATCAATGTTGCCAAGTTTCCAATAACACAAAAACAAGTTTCTACATTTGCAGATAGTTGATTTTTTGAAAGAAAAAAAAAAACTGAAAAGTTGCTAGAAGTAGCAATAAAGTTGCATGTTTTTAGCACATTTTGACTGATTTCTCACACAGCTCTGATCCTAAGTATTCAGTGTGTGTAGTGTAGTTATCTTTATTAAACTATCAGGTGTCAGATATCTGCTTTCAGGATAATTTGCGAGTGGAGCTCTTTCTACAGTATTGTTCTTCTGGTAATGCATGAAGATGATGTAGGCTTTTTAATTAGATAAAGTTAGCATTAGGCTTATAAAAAAAGCCTACACAGAGATCATGTTTAGCTGTTTGCAGTGGATCTATTCTGATCTTCTCCTGGAGAGTGTTTATACCTGATGAATGTGATCGGGTTTTTGAGTGTGAGGGCGAACGAGAGGAGGGCAGAGAAACTGTGCGTGTGAGCAGTTTGAGGGATTAAGCTGGGCAGTGGATTAGTAGTCCCTAAATGAGTGGAGGTTGCTGAGGCAGAGAGGAAGAGCGGGAAGAAAGGGATAGAAGGATGGACGGATGGATGTGAAAATAGGCAAATTCATCTATGTCCTATATTTTATGTTTTTCAGTCTGCCGTCTATTTGACTTCATTTCTTCTTTTCATAGGACGTCAGGGTGATTTTGTTTTTTAAATAAAGGTCAAATCAAGCAGTAAAATGGTGTCATGGCTGCTTGGTGTGTGGAGGTTGTTTGGTTTGACTGTAGAGCTGCTGCTGACTAGTTCTCAGGATTTTGCTTAGCTGGAAATTTCAAGGAAAAGCAACAACAAAAAAGGCTGAAAGTTTAGAAAATTATTAAATTTATTAAATGAATAGGAATAAACCAGATTCATCAAAACGTAAGTGAAGTGCAGAGTAACCGATCAGATAATCTGATTTGATATTTAGACATTTAAACCAATATTTTGTCTTTATCAGATGGACAGATAAAAAATAAATGTTGGTATTTTAGATACTAAAATGACTGACTGATGTGTTGATTACGGTTTGGCTATACGAACGGGTCATGTGCTGGGTTTGACCAATTGCAAGACTGGTTGATTCTGAGTTTTATCAGATCTTTAGTAAGTCATAGAGTGAAGTATCCAAATGTGTCATCCATGTTCGGAGTCTGCGCTGATTATTAGAGTTCATTTGAACTGCATGTGGGTGAGCCTTTCTGTGAACAGCATGAGTCATGGATCAAAGGATAAATAATGTTTTGGGTAATTTAGAGAATAAAGTTAAAACCATGGTAACAAGCTTACTTAAAAACATTAAAAGTGAGGGCAGGATGGATGTTTGATGTAACATAATTGAGCTCCAATGGACGTTCTTCAAGCGTATCTAGTATGAAAATTGGACCATTATTGGCATTTTTGGGATGAATTCAGATATATAT